TATTGCTAGACTATTAATCCAGGAATTTAGCTAACCTTCTGGGAAACTGGGTTCAAATCCTGCCATGGCAGACGGAGGAATTTGAATTCAATAAAGTAATGATGACCGTGAAATGATTGTTGTTTGTTGGGAAAAGCCCATCTGGTTCACAAATGTCGTTCAGGTAAGGAAATCTGCCTTCCTGCAGGTGACTGCAGACCCACAGCAATATGGTTGACTCTTAACCACCCTCTGGGCAATTAGGGATGGGCACTAAATGGCCTAGCCAGAGACACCCACATTCTGTGAGTGAACCAAAAAAAACCCAGAAAGGTCTTAGGACTCTCAGCTTCTTTCTGGAAAGAAGACCTGAACTGTTCCATCCACCAACACCTTCCTCTGCCTGGCTGAGCTCATCCTCAGATTTAAAACTTTATCCCTTTCTTCAGATCAAAGGTGTGGCCATGGGTACCTGCATGGGTCCCAGTTATGCCTGTTTGTGTGATACGTGGAACATTGCTTGAACCAATCCTGCTGTGGCTCCTTGCCACAACTTTGTTCAGCATATTAATGACATGTTTCCCACTCTCGTTTTGGAACTGAGAAAATTTATCAATTTCGCTTCTGTTTTCCACCCTGTTCTCACCTCCACCTGGTCCATCTCTGACTCCTCCCTTCCCTTGTAACCTGTTTCCGTTTTTGTGGATAGGCTGGCTACTGACATCTGCTACAAACCCACCACTCTTGCAGTTACCTGGGCTATTCATCTTTACACGCTGCTTCCTGTAAAGACTCCATTCCATTCTCCCAGTTTCTCTGGGTCTGTGTCACACCTGTTCTGTTGCCACTTTCTGCAAGGGAGCCTCTGAAATATCCACCATTTTTCCTCAACCATGAATTCCCCACCACCATGGTTGACAGCACCTTCAACTGTGTCTGACCCATTCCCCCGCATTTCTGCCCTCACCCCTTCTCATAGCTCCCACAACACCATTTGGGATTCCAGTGGTTCTCACTTTCCACTCCACCAGCATTAAAGGATTGTTAGCACCATTTCTGCCACCTCCAGCAGGATGCCACCACAGGATGTGTGTCCCATCCCTTCCCTTGTCAGCATTTTGCAAGGACCATTCCTCATCCATTCCCAACACCTCCCTGCTCCACCATGGCACCTTCTCTGGCAATCGCGGGAGGTGATGGCCTAGTGGCATTATCACTGGACTGTTAATCCAGAGACCTAGATAATGTTCTGGGGACCCGGGTTCGAATCCCACCACAGCAGATGGTGGAATTTGAACTCCATAAATATCTGGAATTAAGAGTCTAATGATGATCTGAATCCATTGTCGATTGTTGGAAAAACCCATCTGGTTCACTAATGTCCTTTAGGGAAGGAAACTGCCATCCTTACCTGGTCTGGCCTACATGTGACTCCAGACCCACAGCAATGTGGTTGACTCTGGGCAGTTAGGGACAGGCAATAAATGCTGCCGAGCAGCTAGCCAATGAATAAAGGAAAAAAAAAACTTGCCTGTTTACTGTCTTCTTCCTCACTACCCAAAGTTCAAGATATGCCTTCCAGGTGAAGCAGTCATTTACCTGCACTTTACTCAATCCAGCTGACTGTGCTTGCTGCTCACAATGTGGTCTTCTCTACAGTGGGAAGATGAAACACCCATAGCCTGTCTGCAAAAATGATCCCAAGCCTCTCTGCCACTGTGTAGCCTGCCCAACATTTTTGTCTTGGAACTGCTGCAGTTTCCAGCGAGGCTCAGTGCAAGCTAGAAGAACAATAGCCCCTTTTGTGCTTGGGACCCTGCAACCTTCAGGACTCAATGTCAAGTTCAATAATTTTAGAACCTGAACATCAGCTAATGTCCTATACCCATCCCCATGTCCAAAGCCCTGTCACAACATGGGCTGCTTTCAGCACAGCTATTTTCACCAACTTACGGTGCCGATTGTCTGCTTTTCTTTCTCCCTGGCATACTGTCATTTGTCCCTTTGTCTGCTTTACTATTGTTGTCTCTCTGGACTCCATCTCTGCTTATGGGCTTACTCTTTTCTGCTTCCCCCTCCTGTCTTCAGCATATATACCACTTTTAGTTACTATGGGTTCTGAGGGAAGTCACTGGACTCAACATGAACTGTGCTTTCTCTTTACAAATGCTGCCAGATCTGTTGAGTTTTTCCAGTAATTCTATTTTGGTTTTGGATTCCCAGCAGCCACAGTTCTTTGCCTTTTGTATTATTTTTCAATATGTTTATTAAAATTCATGGTGAAAATCGTAACCAGCATTTAACTGCAGCAAATTCCAGCACTCATATTCGCGTTAACAAATTCTTCAAGAACTTTTCTACAACTTTACAATGCAACACTGCAACAGTGACAAAACGTGCAATCTATATTTTAGCATCCAGAATTAACATGGTAAATTTGGATTATAGACTTGATGGGACCTGAGGCAGAAACCTAGGATTTTTCACCAATTGCAACCTGGGCCCTGCACCCGCGAGGGCGTGTACCTGCGCAGAACTCACACTATGCATATGCATTGTGCACACGCACCACGCATATGCACGTGCTCACTATACAAACTAGCATGCCATGATGTATTACTTGTGAGCTTTTATTATTAGAACTGACTGAAGTTTAAATGCTTTGCCAGAGCTCATTATTGCTTTTGTCCAACACAGCCAGTGACTTTCCCAATTACTCGGCTCCCTGGGACTAACGTTTGAGATGTGACTCCAATACTCAGCTGCCTTCTAATTCCTAGATCATTTTTCTGAGCTGTCAGCACAGAGCCATCAGCTGCGCTTTGACCCTTCATGGATCCCGGCTGTGCAGCTATCTGTAGCACGCCGAACATAGAATGTACTTTGCTCTTTCACATTCTCATTTCTGATGGTCTCAATTGCCTGTGTTTTTGAACTCCCTTTCAGTGATCTTGAAATGTCTGGAGTGATCTACTGAAAACTTTGCAATAAACCTCTTCCTTATTCTGAATTGCATGCAACTAATATTTTGGAGTAGTCAACTGTAGCATCCTTGGAACTAAGTTTGTCAGAATGTCAAGTTCTTAGATAATGTTGGCTTTCAGCACAAATTGCATACAATGGTCTGGATTTCCCAATGGCTGGATTTTCCGTTGACCAGACTGTTCTTATTCCAGAGTGTATGGGATTCATGCCTGGGGACCCTGCAGAATCCCCATCACAGCAACTCCAAAGAAATTGCCTGGGAAGTTGAAGATTCCACTGCGCAATTCTCGTGTGTCTGGAATTCTCCATTTAAATTGGAGTTCTGAAGAAATTAAGTAAATTAAACACTTGGTCTAACTCCTGAGTAACTATTTAATGGACCTCATACTTAGTTCACACACCCTCAACTACACCTCTCCAGACCACTTACACCACCCACATCCTGATCCAGAATCCCCTCCCCTACTCTGCATCTGACCATCATCCGGCCCTAAATACAGCATTGCCGACCTAATCTCTTTGCCACCTTGCACTGTGGTCCCCTTACGACTTTACAAAATGGCACCATACTCCTTTCCCTCTTGGCATCTCACATGTCTGGAACCCTGTCCAACTGACATTCTACCCTCCTCCATCTGGCATCATGCACTCTGGCACCATACATACCCTACCCTATACTCCATTATCACCCTATTCCTATACCCAACCTACTTACCTGGCACCCTACTCTTCCAGTACTGTAAAAACACATATATTTAGCCACTTCCAGCAACTGTCTGTGATTCTGGACCTTTAAATTTCAGAATATGACAACTAACTGCTGTGAAAAGGAGACATTTATCTTCCTCTGATAGTTCTGCACTACGAAAGAACTGTCAGAATAGGGGTACATCTTCACGTTTCTGAAGGAGTCCTGATGAAAATCTCTGTAGAAGTATGGATCTCTCATTTTGTTTAAAAAGAAATGTAGAGGCATGACATTGAACTGGATTTTCCAAGGATTGGCAATCAGTAATAGATTCCATCACAAATTAGGTTGAATTTCTTCTGTGTTGACTTAAAATCGAGGTGCATTTAGCACAAGAAATAGATATAATTCAATATTTCCTGAAGGAAACGTTTGAAAGTACTTGCTGATTTGCTACCAATATATATTCTTGTTGCTTGTTTGCATTTAGAAATTAGTGCTGATTTTGTGTACGAGTGTAACCTTTATGACTACAAAACACGAATATAAAATGTGTATGAAAAGTAGTGAATCGTTAAGTGTCTTCGGTGGAATTTGTGCAGCAAATAAGATATAAAAGGAAGGAACAAAGACTTCGAAGTTGTGGAAAGCGTAATGTAAAATCAATGTTACAAAATGCTTCAGGGTCAATTATAGGCAGTTCTGTTCTTGAGTCCATTGACTGGTGTATAAATTGACTTGTCACAATACAATGCAGGACAATATATATTAAGGAATTAATGAGTTCATTGTCACATGTAGTTTACAGTGAGAAGAATAGTAAAATACAGTGAAACCCTTTTCCATTGTTACCACAATCTGGTGCCGTTTTGAATAGTTTTAAGTAAGAAAAAGAATGTAGGAAGATATAGCTTAAAGAGAGACCATCAGTCCTGAGTCAGCTGATCATCAATGACACCTCTGCCACTATTCCTCCTCCATTGCCTTGCCACTGTCTGCACCGGATCCAACCAAGTTGCCGATCCTCAGACACCATCTTTCGCCACTGGGCCTACCTTGTTGATGTCGCCTCCACTGATTTAGTAGCATCGATTTCGATGCCAGGTCCTATTCTCACCTGGGATCAAGTAAGTAGGGACTTAACTTGCCACCGCCATGGATGAGTCTGTGCTAAAATAGCCGCTCGTAAGTAAAGAAAATGTTTGTATGTCAGATCTTTCAAATCACGCTCCATGTGGGATTGTGTCCACAAGTTCGAGCATTCATAAATGGATGTTTTGTAAATCAGACACCCCTTTGTAATTTTTTTTTTTTTTTTGTTTTGAAGTATTGTTGCAATGCAGGGAATGTGACCGCAAGGACAGAAATATACACACGGCAAATTCTGACAGCAATAATGAAGTAAGTAACTGATTGATTGTAGGTCATTGATTTTAATCATCTGGTTAAGGATAATTGTTAGCCAGGATACTAGAAAAAAAGGCCTTAATTCATTTTGAATAGTGCTCTGGTGTATTTTATAACTTTTCTGAGAGGGTATGCAGGACATCTGTTTTAATGGCTCATCTGAAAGAGTAGACTTCCAATAATGCAGCTGTTCTTCAGTACTACAGATTTATGAGTCAGAAATGAGACTGCTGTTGAGACGAATGATACTTCATTGACCTTGAAAAGTGGTGGAGAGAAAGACAGCCTGTCATTAATATTATTTCTTGATGTACAATTAGATCATTCTGAACTGTTTTTCTTGATAAACTATTTCATTCTGTAATGCCAGTGAATAAAAATATCACTGAAAACTGGTGTTTTTCAAATTTTATGTAAAAACAAGCTTTGACTTGGTTTTCTACTGCTGATTTACCTTCTTTTAAATCATTAAACTCTAGGATAATTGATAACTATTATCACTTGTTCTGTGGAATGGCCTCTACTGTGCGAATGAGTGGATTGCAAAAGCTCCAAAAATCAAGATAAATGGAGGCTTCAGTGCAAAAGTGGCTATTTGAATAGTGTTTGGTGTTGTGTTCTGTTGATGGACTTGACGCTCAAGCAGGGCTGCTCTGATGAGTTTTTTTTTTATTAATACTATTTGCTGAAACTGCTATTTTTTTTCTCTTGCACACATCCTCTCCTGGTGCGGCTTTTGAAAGCTTGATGTTATGACTGCTACTTCAGTTGCCCTGCCATTGGCCACTTGAGGCAGTTTGAATTCCGCTACCTTCCATTGAATCAATTCTTTGTAAATTATGCAGAGATTGCAGAACTTGCAGAAGAATCTGTGTCCTGGTATATGAATCACATAAAGTTACTTTGCAGGTACAGCAAGTAACTAGAAAGGCAAATGGAAAATTGACATGTATTTCAAGGGGAATGGAACACAGAAATAAGTGTGTTTCATTGCAGTTGCACAGGGCCTTTTTGAGAACATATTTGGAGTGTGCATCTTTGATCTCCTTATTTGAGAAAAGATACAGATACTGTGGAGGTAGTTTCGAGAGGATTCATTCAACTTATTTCTGTGATAGTTACTATCTTATTGAGGAAGGCTGAACAGTAGGCCTATACTGGATGACAAGACATGTGGACCATTAGTCAAGAGGAAGAAAGAAGCTTAAGGTTGAGGAAGCAAGGATCAGACAGGGCTGTAAAGGGCAACAAGGTAGCCAGGAAGGAACTGAAGAATGGACTTTGGAGAACTAGAAGTGGGGATGAAAAAGCCTTGGTAGGTAGAATTAAGGAAAACCCCAAGGCATTCAATACTTGTGTGAGGAACAAGACGATGGCCAGAGTGAGGGTAGGGCCGATCAGTGATCGTGGAGGGAACTTGTGCCTGGAGTCGGAGGTAGGGGAGGTCCTTAATGAATACTTTGCTTCAGTATTCAGTAGTGAGAGGAACTTTGATGTTTATGAGGACAGCATGAAACAGGCTGATCTGCTCAAACAGGTTGATGTTAGGAAGGAGGATGTGCTGGAAATTTTGAAAAACATGAGGATAGGTAAGCCCCCTGGGCCAGATGGGATATGTCCAAGCGAGAGAAGAGATTGCTGTGCCTTTGGCGATGATCTTTCTGTCCTCACTGTCCATTGGAGTCGTACCAGATGGTGGAGGGTGGTAAATGTTATTCTCTTGTTCAAGAAAGGGAATAGGGATAATCCTGGGAATTACAGACCAGTCAGTCTTGTTTCTGTGGTGGGCAAATTATTGGAGAGGATTCTGAGAGACAGTATTTATGATTATTAAATGCACAGTTTGATTAGGGTTAGTCAGCATGGCTTTGTGAGGGGCAGGTCATGCCTCACAAGCCTTATTAAATTCTTTGAGGATGTGACAGAACACATTGTTGAAGGTAGAGCAGTGGATGTGGTGTATATGGATTTTAGCAAGGTTTGATAAGGTTACCCATGGAAGGCTCATTCATAAAGTAGGGAGGAATGCGATTCAGGGAAATGTGGCTGTCTGGATATAGAATTGGCTGTCCAACAGAAGACAGAGGGTGGGAGTAGATGGAAAGTATTCAGCCTGGAGTTCGGTGGCCAGTGGTGTTCTGTCGGGATCTGTTCTGGGGCCTCAACTGTTTGTGAGCTTTATAAATGACTTTAATAAGGAAGTGGAAGGGTGGGTTAGTAAGTTTGCCGATGACACGAAGGTTGGTGGAGTTGTGGAAAGCGTGGAGGGCTGTTGTAGGTTGCAACAGGACATTGACAGGATGCAGAGCTGGGCAAAGAAATGGCAGATGGAATTCAACCTGGAAAAGTGTGAAGTGATTCATTTTGGAAGGTCAAATTTGAATGCAGAATACAGGGTTAATGGCAGGATTCTTGGCAGTGTGAAGGAACAAAAGGATCTTGGGGTCCACATCCATGGATCCCTCAAAGTTGCCACCCAAGTTGATAGGATTGTTAAGAAGGTGTATGGTGTGTTGGCTTTCAATGGCAGGGGGATTGAGTTTAAGAGCCACGAGGTTATGCTGCAGGTCTATGAAACACTGGTTACATCACACTTGGAATATTGTGTTCAGTTCTGGTCCCTCATTATAGAAAGGATGTGGGTGCAGAGGAGATTTACCAAGATGCTGCCTGGACTGGAGGGCAGGTCTTATGAGGAAAGATTGAGGGAGCTAGGGCTCTTTTCATTGGAGCGAAGAAGGATGAGAGGTGACTTGATAGAGGTGTACAAGATGATGAGAGCCATAGATAAAGTGGATAGCCAGAGACTTTTTCCCAGGACGGAAATGGCTATCATGAGGGGGCATAATTTTAAGGTGATTGGAGGAAGGTATAGGGGAGATATCAGAGGTAGGTTCTTTGCGCAGAGAATGGTGGGTGTGGAATGCACTGCCAGGGGTGGTGGTAGGGTCAGATAAATTAGGTACATTTAGGCGACTCTTGGATAGGCACATGGATGATAGTAAAATGAATGGTAAGCAGGTTAGTTTGATCTTAGAGTAGGATAATAGGTCAGCACAACCTCATGGGCCGAAGGGCCTGTACTGTGTTGTACTGTTCTATGTTCTACACCCATTGGAGTTTAGAAGAATAAGAGATGATCTTAATGAAATTTATATGACCACGAGGGGACTTGATTTATAAGATATTGGGAGAATATGGAGCCACAGTTTAAAAGTAAGAGGTCTCCTCTTCTCAGCTTTGGGAAAATATTGTTTTTTTTTCTTCTTCTGAGGGATATTCGTTCAGGGAGTTCTCTTTCCCAGAAAGCAGTGGAGGCTCGGTCATTAAATTTATTCAAGGCTTGCTTCATTTGCTCATGAAATGTTGGTGTCCCTGGCTACCCAAATATTTATTACCTGTCCTGAATTGCCAGGGGACTGATAGGCTTGAAAGCCTATTTCAGAGAGCAGTTAGGAACTGCCATATTGCTGTGGGCCCTGCAGTCATATGGAAGCCAGATAAGGTAAGGATGGCAGATTCCATAAAGGACATCAGTGAATTAGATGGGCTTTTACAACAATTGACCGTTGCTACACTACTAGGTTTTTTTTTTAATTGCAGATTTTACTGTATTTAAATTTCATCTGCTCGACAAACAAATCAGGAAAATGAAATTGAGACCAAAACTAGATCAATGATCTTACCGAATAACAGGGCAGGCCAGAAGGGCTGAATGGTCTGTTTCTGCACTTGTATCCTTTTGCTGTATGTTCCTTACGTTTGCGTAGCACATTGGACCAGCTGCGCGCACAGTTGGACCTCCTGCTAAGTCATTTTGAGTTTCACACTGACTCAATTTAATTCTTCTATCCAGACTGCTGAATTTGTTATGGTTTTTTTTTGCAGAGTATGGGATTTGTAGCACATTGATAGTAACAAAGAATAGCACAGGAGCAGGCAGGTTGGCCCACCATGTTTGCACTGACCATGATGTTAATCGGAACTAATTCCATCTGCCTGCACATGGTTTGTATCCCTCTATTCCCTGCCTGATAATATGTCTGTCTAAATGCCTTTTAAACATTGCATTCATATCTACCATCTTCTCTGGCAGTACGCTCCATGCACCTACTGCCCTCTATGCAAAATATATGCCTTTCATATCTCCTTTAAACATCCCCCATCACCTTAAACCTTGTAACTCTGGAAACAAGACTCTAACTATCCACCCTATCCATGTTTTTCATAATGTATACTTCTATCAGTCAGGTCAGCCCTTGGCCTCTGATACTGTAGTGAACAAAAATTCAAATTTGTCCAACCTGAACCTTGTAACTAATGCATTCCAATCCAGGCAGCATCCTGGTAAACCTCTATTGCACTCTCTTCAAAGCCTCCACATCCTTTCTATATTGTGGTGACCAGGACTGTGCACAATATTTTAAATGTGGCTTAACTGAAGTTTTATACAGCTGCAACATGACTTGCCAACTTCTATACTCAATGCCCCAACTGATGGAAGGCAAGCATTACCGTGCATCATCTTTACCACCTTACCCAATTGTGTTGACACCTTCAAGGAGTTATGGATTTGAACCCCCAGGTCCCTCTGTATATCAACACTCCTAAGGGTTACACTATTTACTAATACTTTCATCTTGCATTTGACCTCCCAAAATTCACCACCTCACACTTATCCAGATTAAACTCTGCCTGCCATTTCTCCACCCATCTGATAGATAACCTGCTGTAACCTTTGACAGTCTTCCTCACATCTGTCGCACTTCTTCTTGTGCTGTCTGAAAACTTACTAATCAGACCACCTACATTTTCATCGAACTCATTTATAGAGTCATACAGCACGGAAACAGACCCTCTGGTTCAACCATCCATGCTGACCATAATCCCAAATTAAATTAGTCCCACCTACTTGCGCTTCCAGACATTTCTTATTCATGTACTTATTCAAATATCTTTCAAACGTTGTGACTGTACCCGCATCCACCACTTTC